AGCCTTGTCTGCCTGGCAAACACCTCTTCATCTCTCATGATCCCCTCAAAGGCCCCCTCCTCCAGGAAGGCAACCCCCATGCCCCTCCCCTCTAGGCTACCTCTGCACTTTGTAAATGCTTCTCCTGTGGCACTTCTCACACTGTATTTCACTTGTTTACATGTTTGTCTCCCCTTCTGTCCCCTTCTAGACTGTGAATCCTTAAGGGCATGGACTGTATCTTATGCATCTCTGTATTTTCTGCGCCTAGCACGGTGCCTGGCACACAGTAGGCGCTCAATAAATGTTGAATGAATGATTGAACCAAGGCGTCAGCACTCAACAGCTTGTCTTTACTGCAGCATGAGCGAAAACTGCAGACCCTTCTCCCCAGTTTCCTGTCTCTGCCCGAGCCCACTCACTTGGAGTTACTGCAGTTCAAGAGCGTTGGTCAGAAACGACACCCCAAGTAGATTCCTTCCGCAGCCGTGTGCCTTTCGTGTGCATTTGTTTGGGGTTTGCCGTTCGTTTACTCTGTGTTGTCCAAAGCCTGAGATGCGCAGGTACCGCTGGCCGCAGGGGGTGGTTGTACTCAGTCCCAGCACAGCAGTCAGCAGCACTTCAAGGGCACGGCCTTGGCACTAACCTATCTTTAACGCCTCTCTGAAAAGAAAGAGCTGGACTCCAGATCCACACCCTCCTTGGGCAACTGTGTCTAGTTAAACTTTAACAGCATTGTTTTGTTTTCACTGGATTTATCGTTGGGGTCAATATTTATTTTTGACAAGTGACATTGGTTTCAGTTCATGAAAGTGATTAAAGATATTTATTGAAATAAAAAATACAAAGTAAAGGTGACGCTGGGCTTTTGCAAAACCCTTCAAGGTGGCCCTGGCATGGCTGAAGACCAACAGGCAACTGGCTGAGCTCCATACTTCTGTGGGGCCAGCCTATGGCAAGCTTCCCCTACCCCTGGCCACAGTACAACTTCTCAAGGGTGCCTCTCACCCCAGGTCGGGGGCCTTGGCATCGGCCCCAGCATTCTGGACGTGGGTACACTGGAGCAGAGTCAGAGGACAGGCCAGGGTCCCGCCTACCTGAAGATGACTGTGTGTATGCTGTGATGGGTGTGCGTGGGGAATCTCTTAAGCAATGAGCCTCAAGGCCAGGCCTGGTTGCATGTAGGTCACTGGTGCCCAATTTTTTTAAAAAGTTTTATTAGTTTTACTATAAAGTATAGGCCCTCACCACAGAGATAGAAAGAGAGTGGGAAAGTGGAAAATCACCCCACATGGGGATGGCCGTGCTGCAATCCCTTCTCCATTCTCCTCTCGGAATTTTGAGCATGCACGCAGGCTCGCCCGGCATGTTTTTCAAGCTGTAGGGTCCAAGATTCAAATCGCACAGTTGGACAATGGGATCCAGTAGGATGGTGGGATCCTCCACTTCCCTGGCTAGCCCTGGATGCTCTTGGCAGTTCCTGGGACTGGTCCTCATCCTGAACACATGCCTCTCCTGGGTCTGGCACCGAGTGTTGATGCCCAGGCCATGTGCTGGCCTTAGACACCTGAATCCTAGCCCCAGCTCTGTCTCTCAGCATTTGAGTGACCTTGGACAAGTTACTGGCCTTACCTCAGTTTCTTGGAGAGGACAACCCTGCGTAAGTCAGAATCCTTTTAGGTGCAAATAACAGGTACTCAGCACAAAATAGCTTAGCCCAAAAGGGAAATCTATCCGCTCATGAAATTCCGAAGTGAGGGATTATATCGTGGTGACTTCGGGCAGTGTTGTATCCAGGGATTCAAAGGAAATCTTCGTTCACCTCTGCTTCCTCTGTCATGTTTTCTCTGCTGCAGAAAGATAGTCTCTAGGGCCAACTCCCACATGACTGGCTGCAGTTTTAATCCCAGCTCTAGGAGCCTGAGAAATTTATGAGGCACATGTACATTTATGCCCCAAATCCCAGCAGGGTGGAGAAGTGGAAAAGGGATTGCAGTATGACCACACCCCACTAGGGGTTGCTCTCTCTCTCAGACAAGTACACACACCTTTTGGCAATTAAAAAAAAAAAAAAAAAACAAATTGGCAAAATTAGGGCCAGCAGGCAGAAGTTAAAGCAGCTGGATCCCACATGGCCAATTTCATAGTTCAAGTCCTGGACAGAGTAGCTCGAAAAATATGCTAGGCATGTGTGCGTGCGTGACCAAAAATTCTGAGAAGAGAGAGAATGGAGGAAAAGGGATTGCAGCATGGCCATCCTCCCCTGGGGGGGGGGTGATCTCTCCCTTCCCCTCTCTCTGTCTCTCTGGCAAGCTAAATATATAAATTTTAAAAAATTAAAAAGAAGAAGAAAGATGTCTCTAGAAGTTCCATCCTTACAAGCTACTGCTAGTTCCTCAAATCTAGCAGAACCTCCATAGTTCCAGGGATATAATTTCATTGGTCCAGCTTGAATCATGTGCCCACCAATAAACCAATCATAGGAGTTAGAAGAATGACATTCTCTGGCTGGGTCAGGTCACATGACCACACCCTGAAGGTAGCCTCAGTCCCAACTAAACGGTGATGAACTGCAACTGGGGGTGGGGAGTGATCTCCAAAGGTGTATGGATCAGGGACCAGACATGATGCAAGGAAACAAAATCCTAAACCCTCAACATTTCCACTTGCTGGAGGCTATTAGGAGGGTCAGATGAGAAAAGGCATATATGAAGTCACTTTGAAAAAGGCTACATTGGGAACCAGCAGTTGGCGTAATGGCTATGTCGCTGGACTCCCACGTAGTCAACTGCGGTTCACGTTCCGGACCCGGTGGCTTGAAACTCACGCCGGGCACATGTGCGTGCGTGCCCAAGATCCCAAGAGGAGAATGGAGGAGAAGGGATTGCAGCATAGACCATCCCCCCTGGGGGGTGCTTTCTCGCTTTCTGTCTCTATGTCTCTCTCTGGCTGGCTGGCGAGCGCACGCACCCTATAGCGAAAAAAAACCTCTCCAGAAAAAAAAAAAAGAAAAGAAAACATAAAAGGCTACATCGGGAGACCAGCAGTTAGTGTAATGGCTATGTTGCTCGACTCCCATGGTAGTCGACCGCTGTTCGAGTCCCAGACCCGGTGGTGTCCAGGTGTCTAAGGCCAGGGACACCTGCTGCCCTGCAAGCAAAACAGCACATGGCCTGGACATCAACACTTGGTGCCAGACCCAGGAGAGGCATGTATCCAAGATGGATGGCCCAGTGGGAGGGTTGCCCAAGTTCCTGGGAAAATGCTTCACCAGTCCCAGGAATTGTACTCAAAGAGTCCAGGTCTAGCTAGTGAAGTGGCGGATCCCACTGTCCTACTGGATCCCATTGTCAAACTGAGCTTAAACTCACGCCAGGCACGTGTGCGTGCATGCCCAGGATCCCGAGAGGAGAATGGAGGAGAAGGGATTGCGGCGTGGCCATCCCCCCGGGGGGTGATTT